ATGACTTGACATAGTTCAGTATTGAGCATTGACCTCATTTTCCTTTTCTTTAAGGTGAGCATGACACTGCCTCCTTACCGTGTGTTGGGAGAATGTATTGCACCCAGCACAGTGCAGAACATAGTAAGAAGTTAGTAAAGGAGAGCAAGTTATTACTTTTGCTCAAGCAGTCTGATGTTGTGTGCTGAACTGTGGGCACCATTTCTTTTTTTTTAAATTATGTTTTATTTTATTTATTTTTTTTCTTCATTGAGTTTTTTGGTACATTTTATACCAATAAAATACAGGTATACAGTACAGTTACATTCATTATTGGGATCTTGTACCTTTACATGACAGGTCTTGGTTCTCATTTTTTCCCCTTGTCTCTGCCCTCCCTTCACCCCCTCCTCTCCTCCCCATTTACAAACACTTCATTTCTATTTTTTCATTTTCTCATATCTTTTTCTTTTCCCTTATTGGCTTTCCCCTACCCTTCCCACTTTCCCGACACCTTTAGCCCCTTTCTTCCTATTTCACATTGTCAATGATCTCATTAGGGTTGAATAAACTATAATAGTACATAAAATCCTAATGATATAATTGGCACCATTTCTTATGTACTCTTGGTGATGATAGTGGTGGGTAAGCTGTAATTTTTTTTTGTCTTTTTGGTGTACAGATAACTTAATCATGTTTTGTACTTTTTTTTTCCATTTTAAACTTGAAGGAAAAAAATTCCATAAGGAACCTCCAAAATTCTAGTGTGTTAGCTGATCCAGAGCACTCTGTACTGAGCATCTTGGTCAGCTTTCCATTGCTGTGACAAATTACCGGAGATACTTTAAAAGGAAGAAATTGGTTTCCAGAGGTTTCGGTCCATGGTTACTTGGCCTTATCACTTTGGGCCAGTGGTGACAGAGTACCTCATGGCAGAAGTGTGTAGCAGAGCAAACAGTTCACATCATAGCACCCAGGAAATAAAAAAATGCAAGGAAGGGGCCAGGGTCCCAGACTCCCCCATGGCATAACATTTTTCACTGGGCTCCACCTCTTAAAGGTACCACCATGTTCCAGTAGGACAGGTGGGTGACCAAGCCTTTAACATGGGAAGACATTTTAAAATCTAAGTCATAACATATTGAAACACTGACCTCAGTGGGTCTCTAGAAAGAGTCTCTGTCGCACCATTTGATTAGCATGTACCCTGTGCATTGCTTTTTCTTTTCTTTGGGCTGTGTCACCCATGGTTGGGGAGGTGAGCAGTTAAGTGAATTAAGGAAGACCCCAGTGGGCAATGGTCACATCGTAAGGAGGGGAGCAAGTTAAGCAGATTAAAGGCTTTTTTGCAGATGTGTTTTAGGGCTGAATGCCAGACCAGTCACAGCTTTCTACACGTATGGACAAATTGGAACTTGAAAGCACTTTTTTCTGTGCTGAATTTGTGATCATTGCAAAATTGCAGCAGGAGGCTCTGAAACCAATTCAGGCTTCCCAGCATGGGTAGCAACTCCCAGGATAGGCCCGCAGATTGAGTGAGAAGAGGAGACTTTCTCTTGGGCTCTGGTTGTACCCAGAAGTCCACCTCTTGTTGCTGCCATGATATCTTCCTCACCACCTCCTGCTTTCTCAGGAAGCAGCTGGGCACAGTCCAGCAATATAGAGTGGCAGTGATTATTTGAGAAGGCACATACTTCATTCAGACCAAATTCCTATTGTCAACCTAGATAATTCCTTTGACTTCTGAAATAGATGTGGCCCACCGGGCAGTGGGGAACAGGAATGGCTGATTCTGAACTTTGCATTTTAGGTGGAGGGTGCAGTTTTGGAAAAGACCTTCATTTAGATGTCAGGAAGAACTCATTGGAGTGGTGCAAAGTTCTTTTATTATTTTATTTTATTTTGTTTTTATTAGTACATGTTTGTAGTACATAATGATTATACTGGGCCGGGGATTTAGCTCAGCAGTTCGGTGGCCTGCCTTGCAAGCGCAAGGACCCGAGTTCAATCCCCAGTACCAAAAACAAAAACAAACAAAAAACATAATGATTATACTGGGCCGGGGATTTAGCTCAGCAGTTCGGTGGCCTGCCTTGCAAGCGCAAGGACCCGAGTTCAATCCCCAGTACCAAAAACAAAAACAAACAAAAAACATAATGATTATACTCCTCATGGGGAGTTGGTACATATATGTTACACATTTTAATTCTTTCTTTCATACCCTTCCTCTCCCTTCCCTCCTTCCCCCTCTATCTCTTGGTCCCCTTCCCATCTTCCCATTTGCAAACTATTTATCTTACTATTTCCTATATTTTATTTTACTCCTTATTTATATTTTGGGTTCTCATATAAGAGATACCATGTGATATTTAAGCTTATGTATCTGATTTATTTCACTTTAACATGATGGTCTCAAGGGGTCTCCATTTTCCTACAAGCGACTCCAGTTCATCTTTTTTTATGGCAGAGTAGTCCTTCATTGTGTATAAATACACACTTTATGTTGATGAGTATATGGGTACTTCTAAGATTTGGCTATTATGCGTCCTGCTATAAATGTGTATGCGTGTATCATTGTGCAGTGATGTCTTTTAGTCTTTTGGGAAGATACTGGAAGGGGAATAGGTAGATTGAATAGAATTGCTATTTTTACTTTTGTAAGGATTCTTTGTGCCGATTTCCATGGTGGTTGTACTAGTTTACATTTGCACCAACAATATAGAAAGGTTGCCTTTCCCCCATAGGCTCACCAGCGTTCTGCTTATTATTATTTAATTTTTTAATAATAGCCATTCTTTCTGGAGTAAGATGAAATCTTAGTTTTGTTTTAATTTGCATTCCTGTCATGGCTAGAGCTTTTTGTCTGAGTTCCGCTCGGAAGGTTGGTGTAGTGGGCTGTATGTTCAAGCCTCAGATTCCCCAGCTGTTGAGTAGGAACAATACCACCAAGCCACAGAAGTGTGTGAAAGCAAAGTATTGCGGTACAAGAGTGAAGGGCAATTTCCCCTCTGCTCTCTGCAGGTTCATGGGGATAGACTGACAAAGACAGATTATATCGGCAAAGAGGCATGCAAATTTGTTAACCTGCAAAAGAGGAAAAATGACAACACAAGGAAAAACCACAGGACTGTGATTAACTACTAATCCAAAATCACTGAGAAATGTATATACCGCCTATCTATAGGGGAGGGAAGAGGGGGATGATTGGGGAATGTAGACAATTTTGAGAACTTAAATGATTTTTATTGGAACCCAGTGGGTTTGGAGAACATACGGCAGCCTGGGACAACACTTTTCTGGCCAGCAGAACAGACAGTGGTTTTGTAAATGATTCTTTTTGGAATATTGACTGGAACCAAAACAGAAGACAGTGCTGTCTGAGAAAGGTCTGTGCAGGTGTGTGAGACTTCAGTCTCTCTTCCTGCTGTATGAGTTTAGTTAATGAAAATGGAGAAGGCACCAGAGGTCATTGTTTTCTTACTTCCAGAGTTTAAGCAGTCAAAAGAGATTTCAGAGGGAAGCCTCTTTCAGCATCTACCACTCTCCAAGGTCCTTTAATTTAAAGTGGTCATCACACCAGGGTGCCATCTTTTGGAGTGCCAGTCCGTGAGCCCCTTCAGTGTCCTAGTTCATCCTTTGTTCAGGATATTCCGTCTCCATCTAGCCACTCTGACATGTCATGGGGTTGTTCTTTACATCACTGTTTTCCTAATTCATTTCTTAGATCCAACTCCAATCTGCAAAATGACACCCTACTCACTGATCAGAGAGGGAGCACTTTAAAAATACTCAATGATTTATTTATTCATTTAACAAACACTTTTTGAGTGTCTCTTATATGCCTGGCACTATACAGAGTCCTGAAGATACAAAGATGAGTGACTTACAGCCCTTGAGGAGGTCACATTCAGTTGTCAAAGACAGATGTATATATCTGTGGCTTCTAGTGTAGATGAAACAGATGGTAGAGAAATTATGAGGGGACAGAGAAAAAAGTACCTCCTTCTGCTTGGGATGTTTGTGGTGGGTGTAGAATTAGAGTGGAAAGGAATTTGAGACAAAGAATAAAGACAAGGAATTGGAAACCATCATGTTATGTTTGGAGATCTTTACGCAAGTCAAGTCAGTGTTGCTGGAGTGGGGAGGGTGCAGCTAGAGGGCTGGATACATGTGAGAGAGCATAGGCTTTATTCCTTAGGTAGCTATTGTCCAGTGACAGAGTTAAGAGGGATAATAGGCATTCACATTTGGAGCCTCTGCAGGATGGAGCACCCCTGGACAGGAAGACCTTCTTTGTATAGAAGGTAGTCTGGAGACCTTAAGACCTGAAGCTCCCTTTAGGAAGATCTGTAGCTGCCTGGGGAGAGGAAGGAAGTAGTGGTACAGAGAAATGGATGGATTTGGCATTTAAGGCTTGGTTGATTAGAGAAGAGGAGAGGGAAGAAGCAGGAGTCACCCATGAGCAGGGCTCTGCATTTTCTATTTGGGTCTCTGCTCCTGTCCTGCCTCTTGGGGAGGATTTTTCTGACCTCTGGCTCAAACTTGCTCTGTAGCACTTGGCTCTATTCATACCATCCTTCTTTATATTGTTCTTAAGTTTATTCTGCTTTCCTTAATAAAGGGAAGCTCTTAAAAGGCAGGGGCTGCAATGCAATTTTTGACATTCAGTTTTTCTATGCATAGTAGTACTGGACCTTTAAGAAATTTCTTTCACTTTTTCCCGATTTTCATCTAAGAGAGGAACAATTAAACACAAATGTGAAATGGAAAGTGTCCTCCATCAGAGGAATATATTCATTACTAGTGAGTCTAAATGGATGTTTAGAAAATCAAGTATACATCAGAGTTATCCCAAAGAAATGTAGGAGTTTAGAATTTCAGAAGAATAGGCTAGATTTTTTTGTTTTAGAAACAACTTACTTGTAAGGGCTTCTCTGGTGGCTGGGCTGTGGCTTGATTATCCAATATGTCCCCTTTGAGGTAGAATTGCACTGAATGTTTTGTGTCTGTGATTCTACAAGCAGGTCCAGAGTCCAGTGCCCGGTGTGAGCTGTCACCTGTCAATGCCTCCCACCCTGTCCAGGCCTTGTTGGAGACTTTCAGCGTCCTGTCGGGCTGTGCCAGCAGAGGCACCACCAGGCTGCCGCAGGAAGTGCACATCCTGAACCTTTGCACTGCTGAGAAGGGGCCTGGCCAGACACAGAAAGAGGTAGGTGTGGGTGTGAGCCTTCAGCCCTTACCCTCTGCGTCTGCAAAGGTGCTTTTCTGAAGAAAGAGTTCTTTTCCTCTCTTCTGGACTCAACAAGGATTCTTATGTAAGAACACAAGACGGAGCAAGAATAAAAATAATGCATCATTCTCTGGCCTGGGCAACTTTAAGACCAGAGATCGCTTAGCTTTCCCATGATTGTGAGAAAACAAGGGGCCATTTCTCTGTCGTTGTCAAGTGTCTTCCCCACATTACCCTTTGTCTTCTTTCCTTGCTTTGTCTTATGAGCCTGTTACTCCTGCAGGGTGTCAGGGGAAATGGGATCACTCTGACATAGGATGGTAATATTTGTGCTTCCATGAAAATCCTCTATGGTAGCGCTGTGTTGCTATCCACACAGATTCTTGAAGATGGTGGTGGTCTTGGTAGTGATAGTGAGGGTGATGGTATAAGCTCACATTGCTCAGTATTTGTCTGAGCTCAACACTGTTGAGTCACTTATATACTGCCTCATGAGGTCCTGTCATTTTACAGGTGATAAAACAGCTGCAGAGATAACTCAGTTGCTGAAGATGATCACTATTAGAAAGAAATGAACTCTTTCCTTTAACTCAAACAATGGCCTAGATGGTGAGCGAATGGTCATGATGCTTCTTTAAGAGGGTAGATTTTCCGACGAAATAATACACAGTTGTCATTCTTTGTTTGTTTTTTTTTTTTTCTTCAGTGTGTCACAAATGTTAATCACTCAGACATTTTTTGAGGGAGAAAGCAAGCACAGTGAATCCTGATCATGGTGAAGTGTGGGAGAACTATTGCAGAATGAAATTTATCTTTTAGTTTTCTCCTGGTCAAGAAGATAAATTTGCAGAACCATTTGTTTATGTGCCTCCACCACCCTGTCTTTTAGGGAGAGTAGGGAAGGAGAGGCATGAGGCATCCAGAAGGGAAAGCAAATAGAGTTTAATCTCATGAAAGTGTGCAGAGTTGGCTCATTTCAAAGACAGATCATCTAACCTTTCTAACTCCACTGGAAATTATTGTTAATACTCTTGGTTGCTTGCCGTTGTTGCTGCAACACGTATTTCAGGTCAGATTTCTTTATCCCCATAATGTATCTTTAATTTTTAACTTGTCGGGGAGAGTTTGTGGTGGGAGGGAAGGGAGGAGAGGAGGAAATGCAGTTCCTGCGAGGCGTTGCTGACTCCAACAATTCTTCAGCAGCAATAATTACTCATTTTATATGTGCTTCTCTCAGAGGAGCTGAGAAGGAAAAGAAAGTCCAGGCTGTTACAGAAGCAGCATCAGCCCCAAATTCTTGATGTTAAATTGTGCGGCACTGTTGTTGACTCTGAAAATAAATTTAATAAGACTACTGGGGGAAAAGAGAAATACCTCAAGCAAGGATAGCCGAACTCTCCCACACTGGAACTCAGCTTAGGACATGGCAGTACTATAGATGTATAAAATGTGCTGGCATCAAGGGATATAATGTGTTTGGGGAGAAGAGAAGAAAGAAGGCCTATGGAGGAAGTCTCAGCTTTGTTTGAAAGCCTGAACGTTGTTCTTCAGTATCTGCATAATATATGTACACTTTGGGATTAGTGATTCAAAGGCATTTCTGAGAATAGGCACCTAAGGGAAATTGCGCTGTTTCCTTTTTGGGGATATTTGAGGATTAGATGGTTGTAAGCTCGGTCTTGTTTGAAAAGATGATTGGGATAATTGATGTTCGGAAATTCCATCTGGCTCTGATGTGCTCTCATACTGTAGAACTCAAAGTACTTTGCATATGCAGAGTAAATGTGGAGGGTGACATCAGACAAGAAGAGAATAAGGGAGAGTTTGGTGGTGAATGGCAAGGTGGTGCTAGGAAAGTGTTGCATTCACCTGACTCCCTCCGTCCATTGAGTATGTAGACGCAGTCCTGTAGTCATGCAAATAACTTTGAAAAATCAGTTGAGTTATGGAAACCAGTGATTCTACTCCTACGTATAGTTCCCACGAGAAAAAAATAGCATAGATCCCACACTATAACCTGCCTGTGAATGTTGATATCAGCATTATTCATTATACTCGGAAAACGGAAACAATGTTTATCCTCAGATGAATGGATAAATAATAGTATATCCGTACAGTGGAATGTTATTTGACAGTGAAAAGGAAGAGAGACCTGATATGTGCTGTAATATGGATGAACCTTAAAAATATTATGCTAAGTAAAAGATGGGCATAGCTAACTGTATATATAATTTCATTTATTTAGAATAGCCAGAATACACAGATTTATAGAGACAGAAAGGAGATGAGTGTTTGCTTAGGACTAAATGGGGGAAAGGAGGAAGTAGGAGGTGACTGCTAATGGTTATAGGTTTTTGGGGTGGGGGTTAAAAGTATTCTAAAATTAAATTGTGGTAATGATTGCACAGTCGGATGAATATACTAAAAAGTGTTAAATTGTGAAGTGGTGATTTGATGTGATATGAATTATATCTTTTTTTCTCATTGACTTTATTGGTACATTTTAGGTATACAGTACCATTACATTCGTCATTGGGATCTTGTACCTTTATATGACAGGTGTTGGTTCTCATTTTTCCCCCTGTCCCTGCCCTCGCTTCACCCCCTTTTCCCTTCCCTATTTACAGATACTTTATTTCCATTTTCTCATATTTTTTTTCTTTTCCCTTATTTCCTTTCCCCAGGATACTAAAAAAAAAAAAAAATCATTAGACCTGCCAATATTATAATTAGTCTGTAAAGTTTACCTTCGCTCAGCTCGCTTTTAAAAAAATACCAAAATTGCTTCCTCCTACAACCTAAGCTCACCTAACTCTTTGTTATTCTTAATGGATAACTTGATTTTTTTAGATAGGCCATTATATGAGCTATGTTAGAAATGACAGCTGATCTGTTTGGGGATGGGTATTGGCGAGAGGGCCTGGGTCAACCTTTTTGCAGCAACTACCAGGTAGTTAAGGTAGATATTTTTCAAGATGAAATAAGTAACATTGCTTACAAATTAGCAGCAGAATTACCATGCTGACTGCAAGCCACACTTGACCTTGACTCTGATGATTGCTGTTGTTATTTTTCATGTCATCCTATGTGAAGGAGTTACTAAATCAGCCCCATTTCCCCTTGGCTTGTCGATGGTGTAGGATCTGTGATAAATTCTCCTTTCTCCCATATTAAACTCCTACCTCCCAGGTGCCTTAAGGTCCTGCAGCTGAGGAGAAGTTTCTTGTTTTCCTGAGTAGAGGAGATGACAGAGCCTACCTAGAGGGAGTAACTGCAGCAGGTGGATAAGATTTGGGGAAATAGTTATGCTTAAGTTGGACAAATGATTGTATTGGCTGGAAGAGGATTTGTACCAGAAACTCACTTGTTGCAGCCATGTCTGGAAGCCCTCCATACCAAAGCACCGCTCTCCCACGGGCCTGTCTGCTGGGTTCTCATCAGGATAGCAAGACCTAGAGTTGTGTTTTTCATGTGAAACCACACCTCTCATTTGTAATCATTGGTTTTGGAAACAACAGCCCTGGAAGTGAACAGGAAATTAGAAAAAGACTCTCTGGCAGAGGAGGGCAGAAGAGGGTAAATAGCCCTGATAGATGGGATTTGTCTTTTAGAATGAATAAAGTGCTATAAAAACAAGCTCCCAGTGCCCTTTGCTTGTAGTAAAATATGCCCCTTTCCTTTCTCTGAGCCTCCAGAACCAGTCCCTCCCCTGATCCCTGATCCCTGATCCCTGACAAGGGTTATAGCACCAACAGAGACTTGTTTACAGTAACATGCTTTCATTAGGTTCTGGAATGGCAACAATTTTGTTTCCTATCTTCCAGTTTTTGCTTATGATCTGCTTTTATGTAGTGATCTGTGTCTTTTCTGCTTCCATCCTGTCTAATTGCTTGCTTATTATGAAAAGCTGCTACTAGCCCTTAGCTGTTACACATGTTTATGAAAGATATGAGCATTTGCATTTATGTACTTGTTCTGCCATTAAAGGGGGGACTGTTAATGGGTGTTAACACCTGGCTGAAGGGTGGAGTGAGACTTGGGAGGCTCCACTGACATGGGAAAGGGGACAGTTTTAATAACTTTACCCATCAGAGAGACTATGCCTTCCATTATTTTATATGCTTGCTTCTCTGCTTCATCCCAGAAGATGATTTGGGATGGGTTCCAACAACAGACATACCAACAGTGTAAGCAGAAGTACAAAATGAGAACCAAAGAAAAAAGGAGAGTGTAGTTTGTTGGCTGTGTGGGTTAATGTGGTTGCTGTGAGTTTGAAATTTGGCTCCAAGCTTCTTGGCAGGCATGGCTAAATGGGATGTGTGGTTAATCACACATGTGGCTCTAAATCACTTTGACTTTACCTTCTCTGAGAACCGTGGCATGAACTTGTTCCTTTCTTGGTTCTTTTGAGGACAGGAAAAGACCACAATTAGGAGAAAGAAAAGGAAATAAGTACATCTAAAATGTTAGCTGTTCTGCTTGCCTTTTTTTAGCAGCTTCTTTATTCTCTATTATGGTGGAGATTACATGCCTGTTGTGGGCGGTCTCCTTGCTGGGCACTTGCATTACTTCTGCCTGTCCTCACCAACCTGAACAGAAGGTCACACTGTTTTAGCAGAAGAGGACATTGCACTACGGGAGGTGGTGAGTCACCGAGCCAGCCCCTGAGTGGTGTATGTTGATGCTGTAGTTCATGTGTTTTTCCATACCTAGATGTGGCATTCTTTTACTTTGTTCCAGACTGCAAACCTGCTCACTGAGCCAGATCAGCTCTGTTAGTTAGCTGAGCCAGCAGGTTTCAGGGGAGGGTTTGCGTTTTATGCATAGCTCAAAACTTGCCACAGTTCTTTCCAATCCTTAGTGTCCTTTTCTATTCCCCTGGAATATTTTGTGAGAGTATTAAGGTTGGTCTGTGTGTGGCAGTGTCTCTTTTTTCCTTTCTTTGGTTTAGGATTATCATACCAAATGTCAGTAATTAT